ATGTTCAAATTTAGCATTAACTCACTTTTGATTTTTCTGGCTGTTTCCCCCCTTTCTATTGCAAAGGCCCCATATATAAAATAAATAAAAATAATAAAAATACTGTAATAAAATAAATAAAATAAACTAAATAAACTTATAAAATAATATAAATGATGTTAATATTATTTAATAATTTATATTAATAGATTATTCAAATAATTTTTGTATAATATTATTAAAAAAATAATTTTTTTTTATTTTTATAATAATAAATATCAATTTTGATTTTTAAAATAAACTTATTATTAAAAAATGAAGTTTTTTTTTAATTTTTAATAATAAATATTACCTATAACTTTTGAGACAAACTTATTATTAAAAAATAAAAAAATTTTATTTTTTAATAATAAATGCTACTTCTGAATTTCAGAATAGATTTTATTATTAAAATATAATAAACTTTAATTATAAATGTTATCTTTAACTTTTAGGATAGATTTTTTATTTCAAATTTAACAAATCAGATCTAAATTTAAATTTGAATTTAACATATCAAATCTCAATCTAAATTTAAATCTGTCAAATTAAATTGAATTTGAATTTGAATTTGAATGGATTAAATCAAATCCTAATTTAGATTGAATTGAATTTATTTTATAAAATACTATTTTTTTGTAAAATAAATTGAAATTTAATATTATTTTATACCTTTTTACTGTAAAGCTTTTATATTATTAGATTTGTGTTATATATAATTAAATAAATATATATTTTTTTAATATAAATTAATATTCTTTTAAATTTAATAGATTTCTTAATAATTATATTAATTTCTATAAAATTAAAAAAGAAAAGTAATTATTCTATATAAATAGAAGTAATTTATAGAAATCATATTTTAATTAAAGTAACTATCTATAAATTATTATAATAGAAAAGGTTTTTACTCAATTGTTTTATAAGAAGTCATTAATTTATTGAAAAATTTATTAATATTTTGTTAAATCAACTTATAATATTAGAATATTTCATAATTTTTTATTATATTATTCATTTAATTTTTTATCATTAATTAATTAATACAAGATATTTTTATTGAAATTAGATACTTACATTATATTATGATAATAAAAGTTTAACATTATTATAGATATATTATCATGCTAAATATAGTTAAATTTATATAGATGTAAAACAGGTATTTGAAATTTAAATTAAGATTTAAATATCTAATTAATTTAATAATATATTAGAAATAACTACAATAATTTGTATTTATATAAGAGAATATATTAGATAATAATAAATATTTTGATGAAAAATTATTTTTAAACTTTATTTAATAATGATAACACTTATTATATAAATAATTCAATTAATTCTATTAAAATTTTATTTATGATATTATTAGTTAAAATTCAGTATTAGAAAATTGATCTGCAAAGAATTATCAAATGATTTATAAAAATTATTAAATTTAGTTCTAGATTCATTATAAAATTATTTATCAGTTAAATCAAATTAATAAATTTGATTTATTTAATTTTTCACATTTTTAGTTTATTTAATATTTCTTTTATTTAAAAATATATTTTTTTAATAAAATTTTATAATTCAAACAACAAATTAGTAAATTCAAAAATATATACTATATACTATATATTAGAATATTAGGATATTAAGCTTTAGATTAATTTTTATAATATAATAAAATATATAAGTAAAAGAGGTTTTGAGATTATATGGAAGGTTTGCTAAGAAAATGGGCTTCTAAGAATTTTTGACTAAAAATTTCATACTTTTGCATTTTATTCTAATATACTCAAAAATCATAATGTAATAAAAATTAAAATTTTATTAAAAAATTCTCAGAATCCTATTTTCTTAGCAAACCTTTCATATATTACTAATATTATATTCCTTTTTTCTAGCAAACATTTAATTATTAATAAATTTATGATTCTAAACTTTTATTATTGTTTAATTATAATATAAAATAAGAAATAAATAAAGCTTTAAAAAAAATTTTTTAATATAATGTTTCTAAAAGATTATCTATAAATAGTAAATTGATTTATGAAATCGACAATTACTTTTTTATTACTTAGTTTGGTTAAAATTACTTTATTTTGTTCTTTACTACCCAAGGGACTTGTTCAACCCAATTGTTCTTGGGCTGTTATTAATAAAAAGGGGCTTAGTAATCTTTTATTTGGCGGATCAGAAATATATCTCATTGATACACGTGATCACCTTTTTTTCATGAGAGTCAATTAAAACCAACAGGTTTTTTCTTATTCGTTCCTCTAAAAAAAAATTTTTTTTTTTTTTTTTTTTTTTTTGCTTAGTAGTTCGTTTACGGCTTTCAACAGTTCAAAAACGAAAACTATTTTATATATCAAAAATGCCGAACGTCACACCCACGTCGTCTTCTAAGAAGAAAGATAAAAGAAAGTCTTTGGAAGTTACTACTGAAAAAGATTCTCTTGTACGTCAAGAAACTCTCTCTCCAATTACGCCGGCCGGTGAATCTAACCTTGAAAATAAAAACCCATACTTTGACGTGCTTTATAAAAGAGTTAAAAAATTGAGAAAGTTAATGGTATGAAAACGTTTGTTATTCACGTAAAACGTTACTTAAATATTATCAACAAAGCTTGAGATGAATTATAGAAGTTAGAAGAACTTTTGATACTTTATTTTGTTTAAGACTACACTTGAATTTCCTTGAACATATATTCAGTCCAATTTACTACAAGACCGTAATATACGATATAGTTCTATTAGATAACGCGAAAACTATGTGGAACTTAAAATCTATTTATCTACAATTAACGGTTGTTCTATTTTAAATTTTCAATTAAACGATTAGATAAGAATTGAAAAATATGAAAGCATTAAAAATTCTCCTGATGGCATAAATTTGAATGCTGATCAAATTAATTTGCTTGAAAGAAAGGGTGAAACTAGTGGTGCTATCAAAGAATTTGACGAAGCACTCAAGCAAGTAGAAAGTGTTGAAAAAGAAGTATGTATAATAGTGATGAAATCTGTTCTTTACTATTCAAATCATATTAATTTTTTTTGTTGCATCACAGGAACTTAAGAAACAAGTTGAACAAAAAAAGGCACAGCAATCGGAGCGCGATCAAGCCATTGCCAATGCTGTTGAAGAAGCAAAGGTATGAATACATCGTTTTTTTCCCAAAGAAAATACTGATTTAAAATATATATATATATATATATATTTGTATTATCTAGGCTGCGCATTGTAAATCCTTACTACAACTCATCCAATTTTTCAAACTTATTCACTCTCAACAACGTGGTTTCATTAAATTGTCAGAAATTGAATTCGAGGCCGTTGATTCTCTTCATTCTAAACTTACATCTTTGACCGATGAAGCAAAGAATGAAGAACTTTATGAAGGAAAAATTCGAGAGGTCTTGGATCTTGTCAACAAATTACAATTAGGTGATGAGAGCTTGATTACAAAATCGTTGCTTAATGGTGTTCATGAATCGGAAGAGCCCGCAACGAATAATGAAAACTCCACCCATGGTTTAACATGTATCTTTTTTTTTTAATATAAATATTTTAGATAATTCAAATATTCATGTTAATTATTCAATTCTTAATTAAATACAGATTCTCAATTACTTTCATTGATTAAAAACCCACCGATACTAGAATCTCCCGAAGAACCACAGATTGAACAGGAAGAAATACAAGAGACATTTGAGGAAGTTCCTGATCCCCAATCGACTCTTCAATCTGAACACAACGATGATTCTACCAATGGTATGAAATCGTTCTTATAAAACTATTAATTATTTCTGTACTATATTTATAGCTATGGATACGGATAATTAATAATAATTATCTTTCTAGTGACCATACCAGCAGGTGGATTGCAATTTATGTATCATCCTGGTAAATTATACATTTAATTTTACGAAAATTTTATTTCTTCATATTTGTTAATATTATTTTAAATAATATAGATGATCAATCACAACCTCTAGAAAACACAATCAATAATACTACATACACTTATCAGAGTACAGATGCAGAACAAATTCCAGTGGTAACATCTACTGGTGATGCAATGGCAGATGTGCAATATCAGCAGAATTATGATACATCTATGGTGGAACAACCATACATAGGGGAACATCAACAACAGTTTGTCGCAGAACAGAATGATCAGCAGGTTTCTTTGGAACACGAAGAATCTCCTCAACAAGAAGAACCACCAGTTTATGCACAAGAACAACAAACTGTTTCAGAAGATCTAGCAGATTCAAAACAACAACCACAGTCAATTCAACAGGATAATGACCAACCACCACCGTTATCACAAGGTTCTAGTGGATTCAGAGGTAGAGCAAGTCGTAATAATCGTGGATTTAGAGGGGGTCGAAGGGACTCAGGTGGTTATAGAGACAGTAATTATCGTGATGGTAATTACCGAGATGGTCGCGATGGCGGTGGTTATCGTGAAAATTACCGTGATGGTGGATACCGTGAAGGTGGATATCGTGAAGTATACCGTGATGGAGGAAACTTTCGTGCACGTGGTGGTCCAGGTCCCCGCGGCGGTGGAAGAGGTGCTTACACAGGTTTGTTCAAACAATTAAATTTGGGGAAAAGTTATAGAATAATAATTAATTTGTTTTTCATCATTATAGGAAATCGCGGAGGACAGTTTAGACAACGTTCTCAATAAGGGAACAAAAAATTATTTTGTACATACTTTGAAAGATCAGGATCTTTCATCGAAGATGTTTGGATATTGCAACTCATTATTTTTAAACAAAGAAAAGCAAACGAACAATTTTTTCTACGAAACTCGTAACTCTTTAGAGTAAAGGTTTTCTTTTTTATTAATGTAAAAAAAAAAAAAGATCGGTTAATAAGATAATTGTCGATTGGAATTTTTTTTCTCTTTTCGTTATTTTTTAATAATGTGTGAGCAATTCAATTTGCATTTAGTAAAAAGTAGATATCTTTTAAATTTCTACTACTTTTGAAAATCTATTGTAATGTAATAAAACGGAACTATCTTTGTATTATTAACTTATACAAGTTAATAGTATTAACTCGAAAACCTTTGTTGAAAGTTGTTTATAAAATTAAAGTTCAGACGTTGGAATTTATTATAATTAAGAGAAAAATAATATACACTGTGTATATAATACAAAAGATTAACTAAACAAAAACTCAATAAAAATCCCAACAAACCCAGAATCCAGTTTTCGAAATCGTAGAATTAGTATAATAATGTTATAATGTATGTGCGCAAGCGCACAAAAAATTTTTAAATTTTGATTTCGATCAATAATTTAAATAAATTAATTTAATATAATTACCAAAGCCATATTACTTCTCATATTTTTTTTATAATGTCATTAAAAATAATTTTAATCCTATATACTAAGAAATTATGCAATTATTTTTTTTATCTTTTCTTTTTTCTTTTTCAGATGATGTGGTAGTAAAAGAACTGCTAGTTGAAGTTTGTGGATTAGAATCATCAGGTAAAATATGATTTTTCTTTTGTTGTTGTTTTCTTTGTGCTTCTTCTTGTTTACGTTGTAGTTCTTTTTGACGTCGATACTCGGCTGCTTGTTCTTCTTCTTGTTGTTGAAGACTTAAAGCTAAAGCATAACTATAAAATATGCGAGAACATATTAAAATATCACACGAAATGCTTAAAACAAAATAGTAAAAAAATTTCACTTACTCTTGATCACCACCTCCCATCAAGTCGTTATGTTCTTCTATTACGTCTACATAATCACCGCCTGTAGCTTCACCTTTTTGAAATTGTCCATTTACAAATTCTGAAGCTTTTTGATCAACATCACTAAGAGATTCCCATACTACAGATCTTTCATGAACAAATCCTGCATCAGTGACTAAAATATATAATGTAGAACTTTTTGGATGTTTATATAGTGTTGAGAACTTTTGTAATAATATAAATTAGAATCGAGAGAATTTTAGTATTACTGATCAATTAACTTAATAAAAGTAATATAATAAAAGATATATCTTTTTGGTTAACTAAGGTAAAAGTTTACCCACTCTAGTAGCATGCACGATATCACAAACTCACATGATTATTCCGGAAAAATACGCAAAGGTTTCCTGGCGGTAAAGTTTCGGATAATGTTAACAAACCATGATATGTGAGTTGTGTCGCAGTAGATTCCAAAAATTGAGAAGTAATTAGAGCTAAATTATGTTTTTTAAAAAAAAAATGATGAATCCCGAAAAAGAAAACTAAATAATATAATTAAAAAATAAAAGGTATTATTTTAAAATAAATTATCCAACTTACCATCACGTACTCTAACACTATCCTCATCATTTAGAGTTTCCTGCGAATTCTCAAAACCATTGTTTGAAGCTTTATTAGAACTTTCTACCACAACACCTTTGCTCACAGAATCACCTCCGACAACACATTCTACCGCTCTATTATAGCTACTACATTTTCCAACAACTACATTCCAAGTATCTTCTTCCTGAGGGTCTACTACCCATCCATGAACCAGATCTACATGGAAAACATCAAAGACAGATAATTCCGCAGTAGGTTCAAATCCGTGAATTGAGTTAAATCGAACATTTACATCTAACCCAGTTTGTAATGATGGAATGATAGATAGAGCAGCGTTGAGTGTATGATGATAATCTTGCAAAGATGGCCTTGTTAAATCGAAAGCACCATTAGTTTGATGATTCCCTTTTTCCGCCACACCATTTTCTAAAGCGATACATTGAACTTTATTTGTTATATCTTCAATCCCATTTGTACTACTATTTGGTTGTAATTCTTTTTCTTTTTCTTTTTCCTTTTGTTTTGGAGATGTCCCGTTTGTCACTTGTAATCCTTTCTTGATCTGAATTAATTAATTACTTAAAAAAGTCAATAATAAAACTAGATAATACAAGATTAAATGATATACATATACGTACCTCAGCTTCTCCTTGTGGAATTGATTTCAATAAATAATCTCCTAATAATTCTACGAGAAAATCGTAAGTAACAGTTGGTCGATCATATGGTTTGATTTCAATATCTCCTCGCAAAAGCAATACATTACCTATAATAAAAGAGAAAATATTAACTTTCAAAATATTTACAAGTAAGCCAATGTGTAAATTGATACATACAGAGTGCTAATAAAGGGCAAGGTCCATTCTCTATATATAAAAAAAGGTATCGGGTTAATATTTAACTCTACGAAAAAGAATAGCTCATAAATTATATAAAGATCATACCATTTTGCGTGATAACTTTTAGTTTTCGAATTTTTCCCGAAGAAGGTTCAATCCACTCGATAGCCTTAAGTTGATATTCGACTGCTACTTGATTAGCTGGTTTAGGTTTATCTGCAACTATATCTTCTTCGATGGCTTTACCTTTACCTTTTGTCTGTGGAATTTGAATAGAGGTAGAATTTTCGATCTCGGTCATATTTTACAAAAGTGTCAAAAGAAAGATTTTTTTAAGTGCTCCAGGATTGTGTGAACATCATCTGATATCAGATCTGTCAATTTTGTTCTCAAAAAGGAGTATACTAAATCTGGTGGTGGACATCTTTTTTTTTTGTCACACATTTAAGTATTTTGACTTGCAAAATGTTTATTATTTAACGATAATATAACTTCCAATCAGCATCGACTCCGAACAAAATTTACATTCTGCGGTGATAAAAACCAAATTATGTGTGTGGTTAAACAAAATTCTGTGATGTGATGTGATACCGATTTTCATAC